CAATTCCCAGCACGTAAAAATAATAATAAAAGATAAAGAACAACCCTCCAAGAGATGGCTGGCGGCCTCCGTGTCCCTGAGGTCCTTTCTCCTCTGTGATTCTCACCTATGCTTTCTGCGAGGCAAACGGGAGTGCAACCCGCGGTTCCTCAGCAAGTGCCGCGCTGAGCTGTGGATCCAAGCCCGGCCTTCCCCCTCTTTCAGGCGGTGCTGTGCCCGGAGGAGGGCTCGCCGGAGGGAGGGTGCCTCACGGACCCTGCAGGAGGACTGGGAGGGTCCTGCCCAAGGTCTCTGCCCAAGCTGTGCGACGCCTGGGGGCTGCACAGCAACCTCCGGGGCATGCAGGAGAGGCTGTCCAAGATGCAGGACTCGGGTTGGGAGGCCTCAGGGCCACGGGAGCCCGGCTGCCAGCTCTGGGTCCCGACAGGTAAGGTCACCGAGCTGGGACGGGCTGGGCAGTCTGGTCTAGCTTCGCCAGGGGCTCCCCCGGGGGTCGGGCAGGATCCCGTCCCTCTTTTCCTCCTCGTCTCCATCCGGCATTTTTCCTTCTGCCTGGTCCAGGACAGAAGGCAGGCAGGCCTGGGCAAGAGTGAGCAGGTCGGGAGGGTGGATCCCGCAGCAGCAGGAGGAGCACCTGTAGGGGTGGGGGTGGGGAGCAGGAAGGAAGGGTCGCGTCACCCCCACCACCACCAGAGGCTGGGGTGGGGCCCTGCCAAGGGGCGGCCCCAAGGGGACCCCGCCTCAAGCTGAGGGGCAGAGAGGCTCTGCGCTCATCCACTGTCTCCCAGGCTGGCTTCTGGGGGCCGCCAGCGCTCCTTGATCCTCCCTACCTGCTGTGCAAGGGAAGGATGAACAGATGGCCTGAGGGGCCCCAGTGTGGGCCTAAGGTGGACCCCGAGGTTCCACTGAAGCCCAGCCTGGTGGGGATGACCTCAGGGCGGCCACGCTCAGGTAGCCTCAGGCCATCCGGTCCCCAGGGACACCTGGCCCCCAGGGCAAGCAGGAGAGAAAACCGAAAGGCGTCCTCCCTCACCCCCACCCCGGTAGTTTACCTGGAGGAAATCAGAGATTCCTCGGGACTCTGGCCTGGGAGGCCGCTGCGGTGCAAAATTAGGATGAATGGTGGGGGCTGCTCGGGAGGCTGAGACCAGCCGGACATCTGGGTGAGATGCTGTCTCAAAATGAATTTAAAAAGGGCTGAGCTATTGCTCAGCGCCTCCTGGCTTCCATCTCCAGTCCTCCCACACCAAAACATAAGAAAGAAAAGTCAGGGGCCAAGTGGCCCATGAATTAGATGCGTTTCTGGGCCAAACTCTTTCTCCACCAGATGCCTGATGGTTTTCTCCTCCCAGCACTAGAGAACCCCATCCTTCCCCTGAGCTCTTGTCCAGCCCTTATTTCTTCAGCCAGGGCTTCCTGAATTGCCCAGGCTGGGCTCAAACTTTCCATCCTCCCAGGTGGCTGGGCTTGCAGGTGCGCGCCACCGCCACGGGCTTCTGCCCTGTCTGGGCACCTTCATCTCACATGGCCCTTGCAGCATCCAATGAAGTGGTCACCACTGCACCCCTTTTACAAATGAGCCCTTAAAGCAACAGGGCTAAGAGTGTGGGGATCAGGACAGGCTGTCTGCAGGAGGAGGTTGGGGACAAATCTACAGGAAAGCCTAGGAGGCAAATGGAGGAGGCAGAGTAGGCAGAGTAGGAGACTGTGTGTGCAGAGCTGGGAGCACGGATGGGGGAGCACTCTGGCAGGGCAAGAGTACAAGGAGACAAGCATAGCAAGGGTGGAAGAGGAAAGAGCCTTGGACAGTGCCTGAGAGGTTTGTCTTTCATGCAGGGGACAGTTTCGCTATCATATACACGGTATGCTGAACACAAATAGGCAAAAATGAAAAAACATCAACATCACTTTGTCATCACCATTATTTTTATCCTTTTTTTTTTTTTTTT